AAGACTCTTGATTTATCGGCATAGTTAGCCCGGTCGACCTCGTTACGGGTTTCCGTACAAAGGTAAGGGCGCTTCCCGAAACCTTTTGACTTGGTAAAAACTTCTGAACGTCTATGGACACTGAAATCCTCTTTTTTATATTTCTCACATTGAACATATTTATTTTCATTCTAAATTAAATTCTAGCAATTACAGTTTTATAGGGATTTGAATAAATTTCATGAAACAGATGATGTTTAATCTTAAACAAAAAGTAACATACTTAAACCCATAACTGATTCACTCAAAACCAATTAACAACACATTTTCTCAGCATCATATCAACAACTAATCCAAATAAATCTATTGTAAAACTCAATTATACAATTTATTCTTTTGACTGAGTCAATTTGATTTTCTTCAGTGCAAACAAACACATGGGAATTTCTTCGAGAACTGATGAAAGTGGATAAAGCGAAGGAAGAAACCGATTGATAAATCGAATGAGGTGGAAAACGTAGCAATCTGCGGCGGCAGGCTTACGTATCTTTCGACCATGGACGGTTTCGCCAGACGCGTGCACCATTTATATAACGTGTGAGAGAAAATAGAACGAAAAGGATTCGCGGGTGCCGAGCTGAGGGAAGACGAATCGACGACACCATCGTGCCAGCCCACTCTCGACATCTTCCATACGTCAAAGCCCATTCTCAGCAACGACCAACTACTATGTGTTGGTTCTTCCTTCACCCTAACTAAAATATCTCCTTCTTCTAGAATATCGGGGTTAGAAAGAAACCACTTGGGTTATAGAAAGGGACTACAGTAAGGAACCAACTTAAACTTAATTTTATCTATAAATATTTGATTATGTGCAATGTGTAATAGAACAAAATAAATTGATTAGCAAGATTGGTGGTATCTCAATTAACACTTAAAAGAAAAAGGTAACAGGTAAAAATGATGCAATCCTGTGGTCAAATTTATTGAGATGGTTGCAGACGTATGCCATGTGGTTGCGTTTAAAGTAAAGTAGATACTAATTAACACGGTAGCAGCGATTCAAGATCGGGTGGTTTTAGGGGGGAGGGTATGTTGGAGTGGTTGGTTGAGCGCGAGCTCTCTCTCTCTCTCTTACACTTTCTTGGAATGGTAAGAGAGGTAGAAGTAGGGGGAGAAGGAAGTCTTAAGGCAGCATGTTCTCTCCGGGGAGCCAAGTGTTAGGAGAATTAACAGCAACCCCTGATCTTGGCCTTCTATGCTATCTCCCTAATAATAAACTGGTAATTCCCAATGCCCCTATAAGTTACTCCCTTTCAACGGCACAATGACCTACGAGTGCCAAGACGTATTGTCTAACGGGTGTTCGTGATCCTTTCTAGCCTTCTTAGAATCTAACGGGCCATTAGTTAATTGAAGAGCGTTTCGAAAAAATGAACAAGAAAAAATCCTACCAATCATTGTCTACATTTTTCTATCTCTATCCTCTACCTCTCTTTCAAGTACAAATTAATAGATGAAATAAAAAGAAAGAAAAAAATAAAAGGATACTTAATTATTACCTAATTACCGAGTTATCCGATATTCGCAGTAGTCAGCACAGACATCGAATTTTTGGCAAAAAAATAATAATAATTCTTACTTGCCGAGCTTATTACCGAGGAAATAATCGATGATGCTCGCATTTCTCTCACATTTACCCCGATTTACAAAAGGTAAGCCACATCTATTACGCGTATCTATTCCCAGTGTAATGCTCACCCGTTACATTGTTACATGCTGAGGATTCAACCAGAAGGCTTACCTCACCATATATGTATGTATATGTGTACATTGTACATTTACCACTTTCTATAAAGTACCCTGTTTCTAAGTCGATGTGGGCTGCAACTCATCTGCCTACCAACTTACCTACCTACCTACCTACCTACGTATCTAAATATGAGAGAAAAGGATGGGGAGAAAGAGAGAGACAGAGAAAGAGAAGACAAGAAAGGGTCTAGCAAACCTTGAACACAGCATACACATCGAAGGAAGGGATTGTAAACTTGGAGTAGGACGATTTCATTTCTCGACGAACCGTTTAGATTTATGGACATAAATTTCTCTAGTTTCTCTAATCATAAGCTTACTCGATACAGATATATCAAACAATTTCAGAATATATTGAAGAAAAGAGAGAAGACTTATCTCATATATCACATACTTTTACTGATATTACTGATACTGCTAGAACCCCCTCAAACTGAAGTACCAAGTATCCAAATTTATAAACACCCTAGAAATAAGGATACTCTTATACCTCCACCCTCATAGTACTCATTTTAGTCGCCTCTTACGACATGCATGAGCTACATTGGGACTATTCTTTCACACCCGGTCACCAAACGGGTGAATTTTTAAGTTTAAACAATTGCAATATGTTTTACATAAAAAAGTGAACAAAATCGAACAAAAAGTTAACACTAGAAACCCTGAAATGTTTAGTAGTATCCTGTCACGAGTTATTAGTGTTAAGACTATAGAATAAGATTATGTTAAATTATTATAATTAATAATGTTGAAAAGGTAGGATTTATTATATCGAAGTATGTAATGAAATTAAGGAAAATCCGACACGTGTCTAGTACATAGTTGGATCGAAATGGATACTAAAAAGCAATAAGATACGTCCTAGTGTAACTAAAGGACACAGGGTTCTCCCATGTTTAGACCAAATATCTACTCCGTAGATTAGGAAGAAAACGGGGGGATGGTAACGGTGACCGATAAATTCCGTTGCAACTGTCTCTTACTTGTAATTAAACGCACAATTTAAACAGACCATTACCGTCAGCATACCCAAACTGGTGTAGAGAACCTGCCTCCTCTTGGTATTCTTGAAGACGTTGTACTTACGAAACTACTAAGATCAATCTTAAATCCGTATGAAAAGGGATTTTGATTGTGTTATACTAGAAAATATATATATATATAACCAATATTGATCTCACGTTACGTGTATCCAACAATAAACTGGGTGTTCAACTACCCTGTAGTGAAACTTGTCAAATATTGATCTTCTAATCTCGTTCACCAAATACTTTATCGAGATCCCGATATTGTTGAAACGTGGTATTTAGTTTTGTTATGCATGAACGTAAACGAACTATCGTTTCTAATTACCGTGGCATTGTGATACGTGGCATAGTGCGTACGAGTCGAACATCTGCGATCCATCGTGACGGATAAATCACCTTGGGACCACCCTCCAATCGTGTCTCGCCCATCGCCTTGCATATAGACAGTTACTAATGAGCCAACCCCATTTAATTAACTGTATATGGTTTCGATGCAACTGCCAGACTATTTCCCATTCGTATATACCAACTATTCTATTCAATGTCTATAGCTTTTTCTCTATCTATCTATCTCTCTCTCTCTTTCTCTTTTGGTGTCCCTCACCTCTCTCTTTCTCTTTCTCTTCCTCTCTCTCTTTACCCTCCTCCCCTTTTATTCAAGTTCAGTTAGTGAAACGATATTTCATCGAGAACCTCTTTTTGTCTCTGCGCATCTGTTCGATTTCCGTTTGGGATGCCGTTTGTTTCAAATTGTTAATACGAATTTCTGTTCATTGTTTAACTGATTATTACCACTTTAACTTTTGCAATATACTTCTGTATTGTACCATAAATAATATTAGATTTGTTGAATACGATTTTGCAAAGTCTAATCAATGTTTGATGTAATCTTGATTTTATTATTATCATTATTATTATGATTTGAATTATTTATAGATGATGATATGTTTGTCTGAATTATTAATTGTTATTTTTTATCAGAGACAATCTTAAATTAGAACCCTCGAAGGGTCTTTTATACGATCAACATCACGAATATAAAACCTATGATTATTGAGCTCACGCATGTAATAAAAATGCTTAAGCGTTTACAAAAGATTTATACTTGAGATAACATTAGTAATATTCATTGTATCAAGTATATAGAATTTAAATTGACATAAGATACATAATTATAATTTTATAAATTAACTATATATAAATAAGTATTTAGTATAGTATAATACTCATAGTAAAAAAGCTAATGTTTTATTATAAGACACCTCTCAACAACTGGCCTCCGTGGCGCAAACGGTTAGCGCGTTCGGCTGTTAACCGAAAGGTTGGTGGTTCGAGCCCACCCGGGGGCGAGCATTTTTTTTGCTATTCAAAATTAACAAATTTTTTTTTATAAACAAAAAAGACTATATTTGAATAATTAATTTAATTACTCTACTTATTATTTTATTTTTGTATATGTATAATAATAAATGCATATTAGAATAAAATAACCTATAAGTCTAATATTTTGGTAAAAATCTGATAAAACCCTTTATGATTAAAACAAATTGTATTTTCAATTCAATCCTGATAACAATTACTATATTTTGAAAAATGTGTACCTTATTATAGAGAATAATTTTGATATATTATTAAAAAGTTCTAAAGCAACGGAGAAAAAAAATGAAATTCTAGGCACAAAATGTTAATAATTTCTGCTGGAAAATAACGGCGCCGTGGCTTAGATGGTTAAAGCGCCTGTCTAGTAAACAGGAGATCGAGGGTTCGAATCCCTCCGGGGCCTTGTTGTTGTCTAAAATTTTTTTTTATTAAAAAATACTATTACTTATACTTATTGTTAATTTAATTTTTTTAATGTTATAATCTAAATGTCACTTTAAAAAGACACTAAACATTACAATTATCTCTTTTTTTTCATTCACTTCATTACTTTACTAAAGATATTAAGAAAAATCCTGTGAAAACAAAAATATAATATTAAATTTAATAGTCAATCTCTTATACTTAATTATTTAAAACAATATAAATAATTTAAACTACAAATTATATATATAGATACGAACAAATTCAAATGTGCACACGATAAGTGCACATTCAAAACTCCCGCCTAGTGGCGCCATGCTGGCAACACGACAGTGTTTTGAAATATTTTCGATTGGCAATCTTGCTTGTCAGCTGCTCGAGACTTACCGCGCTAGTTTTACTGTACCGTCTTAACCTTTATATTTTATGTATACAGTGTAAAAAAAAAAAAAAAAAAAAAACAATGTCTTCTTGTACCGATCCTTTGCACTTAAACGAAATTCAATTATTCAAAGAACTGAAACGAAATTTGTCCGGTAGTACCGACGAAACTCGTAATATTTTAGAAATTCGTGATGATATTTTATACGTGTGGAATGCCGACAAGTGTTGTCTACAAACATTAAATGTCGGTGCTACGCGTGGTAAATTTGACGAAGATATTCCATATCAGGTTAGTAACGAATTTTCAATACTAATATCATCTAAATAAACAACATTGTAATACGATAATGTTACAAAGATCATAGTGTGAGGTTGTGTTTACGAATTGCATGGACTAACCTTTATAACGTTCACGACTGCAATACGCATGCGTGGAATAAAATCAAAAGTCACATGCTACAAGAAGACATGTATATTGTATGCGTATTTGCAATATGTACTATAATACATGCTAAAGTATTAATATTTATTATTAATTATTTATTAAATATATTTTTTTTTGCAGTTATAATTTTATATTTTAATACAGATTAAAAAATTACAAACTTACGTATTTTTGATGTATATATTATACAGAGTGTCTCAATTGTATCCTGAAAAATATTATATTGTACATAGACATTTTGTTCGTACAATATGTTGGTAAAATTATTCGAATAAAACTATAATATCTTGCATAATATAATTATTAAATATATAAAAAGTATGTAAAATATATCAGAGACAATATTTTATAGCAATAATTTCAGTTAGGTGTTAATCTGTTTAATCTTGATAGAAATGAGATGATATTTACTGTACAGAGTCGTCGTCGTCGTCGTCGTTGGGGTTTGACCAGTCGTTAATCGGTCTTTGGTAGAATCGTACGCACACTCGCGGAAAGTGATTACGTGGTAAATGAAAGGGAAGCGACAGTAACGCGAGTGTTCACGGAATCGCGGTGAGAATGGTCCAGAGAATGTTTCGTTCTCTCACTTACTCACTCACTCACTCATTCGCACTTTAGCATTTCTCCCTTTCTCTCTCTCTCTCTCTCTCTCTCTCTCTCTCTCTCTCTTGGGCCGGTGCTTTTATTTCATTTCAATGGCACGGTGGGATCAGCGGGTACATTAATGCCTCGGCGGGCGCGCGCAAAAGAGCGGTGAGGGGATAATTTATAGGAAATGGGTTGTTCGACGCTCCGGAGTAATTTAATTAAAATAAATGTCCGCGCTGCGGAAGAACGTTACCCACGAACCCGCCGCGGCGGTCCACGCTGCGAATAAAATGCAAATTCAGACCCTTCACTGGGACTAGCAAAAGGTAAAGAGGATGGGCTGGGTGGTAGGAGGGTGGTTGGTTGAGGTTAAGAGAGAGGAGTGAAGTTGTGTTATATCGTAGGTTGCTTGATAAAGACACTCTACCCTCTGCGGATTGTCGTACGAGGAACCAATGTCTTCCTAAAGATGTGTATGTTTTCTATCTTTCTATCTCTTTTATTTTATTTCTTGCAAGTATACATTGTCTGTAGAACCCTTTCTATCTTCCCTTACCAAGTTAGTATATATATATGTATAGTAACAGTACCTCGAACAAATCTGTTTTACGCTCGCCTACGTTGCAACTTCCCAAAGGAGTCCTTCTAATGCTTTACAATCTGCTAGATATTTTCTCTCTGGGATTTAGTCTTTTGTCATTCTTCCAAGAAAAGGACTATCTTACAACGAACAATTATTCTTTAGGGAATCACGAGAGGACAATATTAGATTTCAAAAACGAACAAAAAAAGGACAATTCTTATATCGATCATCACTGATAAATCTTAACCCTTTCTGGTTCAATATTTCATGTTATTTCAACAAAAGAATACATTTTCTTAAAATCAATAGGGTACCTGGTAAAGAACATTGTTGAAATAATAAAAGAATCCAAAAGGGTTAATCTTAAATGATTTCAGAATAAGACTATAAAAACAGGGCTAGATTGAATAATCTTTTGTTTTTTTTCTCTCTCTCTCTTACTCATTCCCTATCTTTTCCTTTTTACTAACAGCGCAAGTCGGGCTTCCCGAAAGAAATTTATCAAGAGGCTCAGGTAATTCAAGAATATCCTAAAGCCCGTATATCAGGAGCGGAGTTGGCCGACTGAAATATCGGTCGTAAATAATAAAAGTTAGCAAGGTTCCTCTGTGGTGCGCACCGGCACCAGGAGTTTAAACCGGAAGATAGGTGTCGCGGGATACGGACGAAGTGTGGTGGTGGTGATGCTGATGGTAGTGGTAGTGGTGGTAGAGGATGAGGATGAGAAGGTGAAGAGTGGTTAGGGGGGTTGCTGGTGAGAGGGGTAAAAGAGGTAGCGAGAGCAACGGTGATGAGGAGGAGGAGGAGGGTTTACTGGGGGGTTTGTTGGGGGAGGGTTGCGAGGGGGTAACCCTGTAGTAGGTAGTCCTGTAACGCGAGGTGTGGGCTGGAGACAAAGACGCACCATTGTCAACCGGTCCGCCATCGGAACCACCGTCCGCCGCGGGAAACTTTGAATCATTTTTATTGCATAGAGTTATCTTTGTTAGCAGCGGAACGAACGTCTAAACGCGTTCCCTTTTCTCTCTTTCTATCTATCCATCTATCTCTCTTCTTTCTTTTTCATTCTCTCGTTCTCCCTCAAAACGTAACTGTGTTCTATACACAGAAAGTGCCCTTCTATCCCCCCGAGGGCTTCCTTTTTCCTTCCTCTCCGTTCTTCTTTCCCTTTTCTCTGTCTTCCTCTTTCTATTTCTTTTTCTCTTTCTCTGTCTCTTTTATACTCTTTTGGTCCGTGCTAGAGATAATGCGAACGCGAAAACGTTCACACCCCTTTGGCTACCCAAATGGAATAAGTTCTTTAATTCGCGAATTTACCGCAGGGCAAACGAATCGTCCGAGCTGTCGCCGAGATAACGTTCTTCCTTAGACGCCCAACCAACCAACCCATTCGCGATCCAAGAAGAATGCTTTCTTGCCAACTTTACTTACTTACTTTACTTTACTTTACTTTACTTTACTTTACTTTACTTTACCTTACATTACTTTTATTTTACTTCGTTGGTTACGCTTCATATTTTTACTTTTGCAAAATTTTCAACATTATTTAAAACATTCTGAACCCCAAATAAAAAACGTAGTGTTGCAAAAAAAAAAGTAATTGACTTTCTAAAGAATTATAAAAATAATTTATAATAAAGTAATAGTTATTAGGTAAAACAAAAGAATGTCTTTTGGTTTTGGTTAAGGTCTACTTTGGTATCCGGTCGACCCGACACGCGAGAGCTTTTCTAATTGCTGTGCGAGCCGGCGGAAAAGGACAGTCTTATCTAAATTAAAAGTAGTGCTCTGACTCCTGGGGTCAAGGGTCAGCCTCGCGAACGGGATAGAAAATCCGAGCGAATTCCGGACCGTCTCAGGTGGTAGAAGGAAAGGAACGGAATATCGTGTAATAAGCGAAATCCGCTCGACGATAATTAAAAAGTAATTTTACGGTGACGTTTGTGAGTACGGGTGCCACGTTCCCATGTTCACTGAGAAAAAGAGAAAGAGAAACACCACCATACACACATACCAATGGACACCCGCGTTCACATTCAAAGTGAGAAAAAGAGAAAGAGAGTTAGAAATCTACGAGAAAATTGCTCAGCTTTTCGCCGAAAAGTATAAGCAAACGTAAAAGCTAAAGGTCACTCGCTGTGGGCAACCTACAACCCTCTCGGACCTTTTCAATTCGTTTCTTGCAAAGAAACACGAGTTCTCATAAAACAAAACAAAAAGTAATCAAAAAGAATAGGGAGAAAGAAAAAAGAAGAAGAAGAAAAAAAAAAGGAAATGAAATTAGTTTTCTACAAAATATAATAAGTAATATTTCAAATATTTTGTTATAATTTGGTTAAATTTATTAATTAAATCTAATTGTGCTGAACAAAAGTATCCAAATCCTACAAATAAATTTCTTACTAATTTGATCCCATTTAAAATTAAAGAGAAATATTGTTAATAATTAATTACAATTATATCGACGATCGATCAAAATCAAAAAGCAATTAATAATACTGGAATAAACGTTGTTAGTTAAATGAGAATTAATAGGACATAGAAAGAGTTAGGTACTTAGGGTATATGCATAGTGAATACCTAGAGCAATAAAATTCACGGGAAGTGTTTTACATCGGTACCACGAGAGGAGACCTTGTATACGCGATGGTTGGGTGAGAGAAGAGTCAGGAGGAACACGGGTAGTAGTGGTTGGAGGTTGGGGGTGGAAGTTGAGAGGGGTGATGGTGGGAAGGGGCCTCGACGAATTCAGTAAGTGGCGGACAATGGCTTTTGTGGTAGACATCGGCCGGTTCTCTCCCCCTTCCCCTGCCCCGTACACTCTTCTACCACCCCTGCTTTCCACCCTGACTCACCCCTTTCTTCCTCTCTCCGCGTATTCGTATTTCGTTCGCGCTGCTGCTACTGCTGCTGCTCTGTGGTACGTACGCGGATACATTTTCTCTTCTCTCGTATTATTCGCCCCCTCGTATGCGCTAGGAACACTCGAATGTCACGCTCTTGAAAAAAAAAAAAAAAAGAAAGAGGAAAGAATAAAAAAGAAAATGAAAAAAAAAAGAGAGAAAGAGTAGAGAAAGAGTGGGCGAACAATCTCGCACCTCGCTCCACTCATTTATTAATAGGTGTGCATGTACAGAACTCGAAAGTGTACAGCTAACAATCCCAACCCCCTGATACGTGGTGAAACCTTTCTTTATCTTTTCCCTGTTTTATTTTTCTTTATCTTTATCGTCTCCGTTACTTGTCAAAATTGTTATCATCATTTAAATGAATGAAGGAACAATATCTCTTTTATAGTACTAGTCAATGTGCAGTTAACAAACTACCCTTAAAGAAAATATGTAGACACCTTGCATTATCTCAACAAGTTATAAAAAAAAAAGAAATAATAATAGTAATAATGAGAGTTTGAAACTTAAATAAAATTAGGGTAAAGTGTTAAGATCGGTGAGTGTTCTTCTATCGTTAAAGTAACTCCCTTTATCAGTCCTTGGCAAAGTCGTATACGAGGAATGACGAGGTCCCATTGTCAAAAGGGTGCCCATTAAAATACGAAACATCCCCTTAGTCTTCGAAGGAAACAAGCTCGTGCATTCCCTCGATCGGTATATACTTACTAGTAGGAACCATCTTCAGTACGCATTTACTATAGTCATGGTACAACTACCAA